AACGACACCGCATAAAATTTTACTCGTTAAAGCGATATTCATCAAAAATTAATACTAGCTACGCTACTCGTCCCCTCTAACCAACTATCCAACGTCCCCGATCTAACACGCAAATTCCACGCTTCCAAATACGAATCAAATTGCCGCAAGCAAGCCGGGCAATCCCAAGGATAATTTCTATCCCCCGTCGTGACGGATGATGGATCTTCCATCGTTGTAAAATCTCGCATTCAATGAACACGGGCCGAGATATGGCACACGGCCGTGTTAATGACGTCGTCGTCGTCGTCGTCTTCGTCGTCGAGGCTCACTCGGTTGCCACATCGCGCGCGAAAACACGCGAGTAACGGCTTAATCAGTTTCACCGTTCGAAAATTGCGGCTGTACTCGCCTTGCAATTCCATCGGCGCGAAACCTCCATTACGCAATCCTGTTACCCTGTTCACGAAACGGAGCCGCAATCCTAGACGCCTGGCCTCTACGTGACTCTGTCGAATCATTTTTTTGCCCCGACCACCATTACCTCGAAGGATTGGAGGATTGAAGGTGGTGGTGGTGGTGGTCGTGGGTGTTGTTTGGATCGATTGTTTAGGCGAAAAAAGAGAGATGCAATATACGGGAGGAGGGAGGAGGGAAAGATATGAGAGCACGATGAAGGCGCGTTGCCACATCTTGGATTTATTGGCTTGGCTGTCACGGTGGAATAGAAGTAACGGCGAAAACGGATGGGATGATATAAATGCTTGGAAACAGTGTTTAATCATTGGCTTGGATGGGGAAACGCGTTAATAAATGGACGATGGGGAATCGAGAGCTTTGAGATTCGAATCGAGATTCTGTCCTTGGATTGGATGTCTTTTCTTTTTTTTTTTTTTGTGGCAAAATGATATTGAAGTCATACTAATTTATGAGATATTAGAGAGATAGAAGAAATTAGAGAAGAAATGTTAGGCTTCAATATTTTTCTTTTTTTAATTTAGATTGTAATTTTAATTAAATTAATATTAACAGTTCGAAATTGAACAAGAATTCGAAACCTCTTTCCATAAAAATTATTATGTACAAAGTAGTATAGTATAGTATTTCAACTACTTTCTAACGAGAAACTACAGCAAGACAGAACACAAAAGTCAAAATAGAATAGAATCATGTTCGAAACAGAGAAAATCTTCGTTAGCTAAGCATAGCTGGCTAATTAAACACAAATATTAACTTGAAATAGGTAGGGGGAAAAAAAAATAATAAAAAAGAAAAAGAAAGAAGAAAAAAAATTGATGTACGATGCTTAAATATCGTGGCAAACCTATGATTATGCGTTAAAGATGCATTAATTGAACTAAGCACCAGAGACTGCAATAATAATTTATTGCCTGAATAATCTTGTGACCTTTATATAGCCGATGCTTACGACACATATTCCATGGACACTGTAAATATTTTCTCGAAATTTTGCTAATAGATAAACTCAATAGTCGTAACAATATTTTCTACACTGCAATATAATTCACGTATCACATTCGTCACAGAGAATATTTGAATGTTAACGTTCCAACATTTTTCAACCCCTCTGGACACAAGATGGTATGCAATTATGTAAATTATGTTGACAGAAGAAATGCGGACTTATCGTATTTCAGAAATATAAATCTTCGGCGCAAGAATGCGCAAGAAATCTTCTATAATCCCTTGAAATTACGACTGAGAGAGAAAGTGTTCGTTCTTCGAGAAAATTGTGATATAGGAAGTAATGAAAAAGAAATAATAAACGCGAATGGAGACCGATAAATTAAAGTTTAAATTAAATTTGATTAGATTCTAATTTCTCTTTTTGGTCGAAATCAAAAAAAAAAAAAACTTCATTCTAAAACATTAGACAAACCTTTACACGTTATAATAATAATTTTCTCTCTCCTTCTTTTTTTATTTTAATATTTACATCGTCAAAGACTAACTTTTTTCCAACTAATTAAATCATAATGATATAATTATTATTTAAATAACATAATTTAAATTATCTAAAATTAAAACTTTTAATAATAAAAAAAAATTTGTTGAAATTAAAAATTTTTAGATCTTAAGTAATTATTCCAAAGCAATATTGTTGAAACAAATAATCCATTAAAAAATTTGGAAATAATCACTTTTTCAAATAATTTCAAAAAAAAAAAAAAAGAATTCTCACAGTCCAAAGATATGCTCTCCTCGCATTATTCCTTCTCACATCTTCGGCAACCAAAATGGCCGCCATTCCACAATCCTCGCCAAGAGATAACCTCAAAGATATAAAAACCACGATTCATGCTATTTTAAATTTCATCCCGCACGAGCCACGCAAGCGGCTCCATTGTAAGGCACGAAAAATATTCGTCACCTCCGAACAAGGCCGGCATAGAATTCACGGTATAGAGGTCACTACGATCGCCCTCCGCCATCGTACCCGCAGAAACACGAGACTCTCTGGACTCACGTTTTATTTATACGTTGCCCTATGACCCCGATGTTTCGTCAGCGATGGCAAAAAGCGTTTAATGCCTGTCTAATGGAGCGGAATCGAGCCTCCATTAACCAACTAACGCGGCACAATAGCTTTACACGCTCGTCGATAATTCTGTCCTAATCTCGATCGATCTATCGGCTACGAACGATTAAGACACAGCGATTCGAGTTATCGGACGTTGATGCGAGTCAAGCTTAAACGAAGAACGGTGGAGAACCGTTGCCAAGATTGAAAAAAAAAAAAGAAGAAGATTGAAAAAGTATGAAAAGGGGAATTAATTAACGATCGTGTCTCGAGACCAGAATCGTTATCCGGATAAGGAATTTTTCCCTTCTTCCATAGACGAAAATTACTCAGAATTTTTCCACGCTCGAGTGGAAGTATAATTTACAACGTAACAGTCGGTGAAATATAATATAATTCAGACCTGTTTTCAGTGAGAGGAGCAACAGGGAATGGGCTCTCGCTTTTCGTTTCTGGGCGAGGCGTATTCGTAGATTTATGAAAATTTGTCTTAACCCGAACGTTTGACAAATGCTTTCTTGGCTTATTATTCGATAAGGGGAACAGATTCGGCATTTTCACATTTGTTCAACCGTTGCTTTTCCAAGGAATTAATAATATTTTGATCGCAATTCGTATATATATCAGGAGAAATTTATACCTTCACGACTATTCTAATATATTTTACCAATAAATTGTCGGATTATATCGTTGCGCAATATATATCCCCGATCTATTTCTTTTTTAATCTTCCATCATATTTCAAACCATCAAATCGAGCTTGCCTTTCCTCCACTGGCGCAAGAAATCGATCACCGCTTCCCTCTTGCTAGCCGTTCCTTTTTGCGCCCGATCATTAACTACATTGTGGCCAGTTTTCGATGCGCGTGAGGGAAAGTCTCGGTTCGAGGAATCCCGGGAGCGTTACGTTGAAATCGTAAATCGAAGAAGAAGAAGAAGAAGAAGAAGTCTTGGTCCATGGAAACGCAACTTTCACGATTAGCCGCCAATTCCTATTTTGGGACTATAGTGGGCAGGCTTCGAGACGTCTTCCCGCCTTTTTTTCACGGAACGTGGCCCAGTTTGCAAGGACAAAACGCGCGCCTTTTTCCCCCGTCCACTTTACAAGCAATTACGCCTCGACCGTTCAGCCTAATTATATAATGCCAACTTTCTGATAGTTCTTGCTGAGTTGTTCAGTAGTTGTCCTGCGTCCGCTTCTCTGAATCCGTTTCTTTTGGAATGTATATAAATATATATTTTGGTGAGGATTAGTTTTTAACAATGGTAGTTTTATTCCATCTTCGAAAGAAGATAAGATGATAGTTCTTTGTCCGTTCTTTTTTTTTTTTGGTTTTTTTTGATGCAAGCAATTTTGTAATAAAATAAAATTTTAATTAACGAATGCACGCGCTGTAAACGGATGAGAGTTAATACATTAGAGTTTATCCTTTTCGGATGAAAATAGGAAAAAAGGTTCGTTCACCTTGCTCACGGCCTAATTCCGTGAACACGCCAAGACATTTTAACACGTTGAGTTATTAGCACATTGACCCACGGTGTATAACAGTATGTTACGTTAATTCCATTCGAAATAATAGTCGGCTGAAAATGTATTTGTCGCTCTGCCTTCTTACTTGCTCTTCTCGAACATACGTGAAAATATCAAAATGTGAAAAACCAAATTTCAGATTCAATTCTCCATTTGAATTATTCCAATATTTTATTCTTCACTTTTGGATTTATCTCGTGACTTATTCTAACTCGTTTAAAAAATAATCGATACCACAAAATTGTTGAATCGAATATAAATTGATATTGATTCGATATTTTCCGGGACACTAACAATCGAGTAACTCGTGAAATTAAAAGGAACGTTCAACCTGCCCGATTTCCACGATTAGTTGTCAAATTTGATTATTGGATGTGACGCAATCAATTTATTGGTTGACCGCGTTTTGCCACTGGACGTATAATTTATTCACCACCCCCGTTAATTGCTCAACCGCTTTCATTCGAAACGCTAATTCATATACACACACACACACACATACACGGGCACGACACAATACGCGGTTGGCTTTCTTGGTCATCGTTAAGTGGTACGGGACACGTTTCATTACCTCTTTAACAACGTTATCTAGATGTAAAATGGAGATAAGAATGTCCGGTGTACGCTTGTGCAATGAATCAATATCGGTGATAATTAATTTTTCCAGTGTCGTCTGGATAAAAGATCGTTCGTGTGATCGTTCAATCTTATAAATATTAAAATATGTGAAAAGTGTTGAGAAATTGGAAGGAGTATCGTGGACGCGTATGAATAGAAGAGAATTAATTTCTTTTAAAGTGTAAAATTATGTAAATGTATATAATTTTATTCAAAGAATACAATTTTTATATTTTATATTTGTGTAATTTTAATTTCTTCTTTTTTTTATTATATATATATATATATTATTATTTTTAAGAATTCAAAGATCGATCGTTCTGATTTCAGGAGACATTGAGCATGGTCACCAAGATGAATTGAAGAATCTGCGATTCATGGTGCTTCAAGGTATTTGTCTTGCTTTTTAACGAAGTTTGAATTCACGTATTTACACTGCCATTTTGTAAAATACTCTTTCGTATATTTTGCAATTGAACGATCTCTCTATTGATCATGCTAGAGAATTTCTCGGAATATAAATTATGTATTTGAATCATTTCTATATTTATTTTCACATTCGATACTTTTCTTGGAAAACAATAAAATCATCCTATCAATAATACATTAGCAGTGCTATCTATCTCTCTCATCAGAAACGCTTGTATATTTCTGATGTCTCACGCTTGTTCAATTTTTAATCTTCGACTTCAACTCACTCAACTCACTCCTTCATTAACGTCGATAACTTTCTTTTTCTCTTTCATTTCATCGATTTTTACAACAACAATCTAATTTTTTCCAATTAGAACAACTTTTTCGCAATAACTAGACAAAATTCGTCAACGACCAGAGCAAACGAACGCGCGACGATTGTCTCCTCGAGGAGAGCTAATTACAGCGCAAACGGTGAATAATCACACGTTGCACTTTGCATTATGAGCTCTGGAGAAATTTCCAAAAAGAAACCTCAACCTTTCGCGAAAAACGTTGCATCGAATTTCATTATGGGACGAATGTAATAATTATTATATAGGCCACTGTATTAAGAGAGAGAAAAAAAAGGGGAAAAAAAATATAATAAAATATGGAGGTAATCAATTGCACGCAACAGCCGTGTACACGCGTGCATATCGGTTATACACACGATTCACGTAATGAGAGAAGAGAGCGTGGGCAGAGTGTTTTACCCTCTGGCGTTATTTGATCAAACCCACGCAAGTCAATTAAAGATACGTAGCCAAGTTTCGACAACCTTGCGCCGTTGTAGGCTAGTCGAGAAACCTACGTATAAATGAGAGTCGACTCGTTGTCAACAGCGTGACAAATCGAAGCCTGAATTCGTGATCCAAATTACAAAAGAAAAAATTTAACGAATTTATATCTCGGTAGGATGTTTTTGCAGGAACAATCGTTGTTGAATTAAGACCGTTTGTGGAAGATGTGTTCCATATTTGTCTGCTTTCTAATTTTTTGTTAGGTTTCTTTTTTTCTTTTTTTTTTTTAATCGTTTTTTATCGAGTCGAATTTTTCTTTTCGAGAATTAAATGTTCGAGAGTTAGTTGTTAAATGTCAGAACATTTATTATCACATCAGAATTACTTATTATACGATTATTGGAAAAGAGTTAAAATTAAATATTAATTGATGATTAAAACGAAGTTTGGAAGATGATTAAAATAACGTTAAAAAACTATAAAAAGAAGTAGGTTCAGTTCTCTGAGAGGTAGATAATTGAATTTCGCAATAGGAGACTATTGATTTCGTTGAAATCTCCGCACAGGCGGTGTGCCACTCCTGGAGATTTCAACGCGTGGATAATAGGTAAGCAATGTCAATGAAAATATCTATTTTTAAGAAACGGAATAAAAGTGTAGAAAAAAAAAAAAACTATATAGCATTTCTATAAAACTATTCCACACTGTTGCTAATAAAAAATTATAACCGTTTCCAAAAAAATTTTCAAAATTATTTTCATCGAAATATAATATAATATACATAAAAATTCCTACGATAAAATTAACAATTGGAATATTCGGATGCAAAAAGAAATATTTAAACAACATCTGACACGAATTCCAAGAGAGACTTTATATCAATTCATTGAAATCTCCGTGTAAGGGAAAACTAGATAATACGCCTCTAAGTAACGCGACGAAACGCCTCACTATTGTTTTAATGCTTTATAAATGATGACACATCAACGTGAGTAACAGGTTTGAACGTCTTTCGATAAGTGCGACTTATAAAGTCTTCCTCCACACAATGATAATACTCCACTATATTATTATATCCCATTTACCATTAAAAGATATATTATTATCTTCCACTACATCCTTCCCTCCTCCAAAGCAAAAGAATATTTCATACGATTTAGAGGAGGAAACAAAAAAAAAAAAAATTATCGATAAACATTCATTTCATTGATTTTCCTTTTAAAAGTGGGGCGCCGTTAACCAGTTCTAAGCGCGGAGACTTCGATGCTCGCACAAGACACGAAGCCAAGTAAAAGCGACCCAATAATTCATCAAGTTCCTTCGATATCGATTTCAAAAAAAAAAAAATCTCTAATTACACGCGCTATAAACATTTCAATAACAACACCATAGAAGCAATTTAATAAAAATCCCCTCCCCCTCCTCTTTTCAACGATATTTTGCATTTCACGGCCCCACACCTTCCCGCTTAAATCGTTAACTCGACGTGGTTTTTGTTATTTTTCCTTAATAATTCCTCCGGCAGCACGGATCGATCCGTTTGATAAATATTTATCGAGCGTATACCAGGAACGGCGCACGAGGATGCGTTGCAGGAAATACATTTAAAAAAAGGCTGATCGTTTACGCGGAATTACGAAAAATCTGCGAATAGACAGAGGGAGGAAAAGGGGAGGGGGGGAAAAAAGCCACAGCTTACTCATCGAATGGAAGCACATGCTAATTACGCTCGTTTCCACAGATAAATGATTATTAAAACGGCAGTAAAATTCACCGACGTGAATTTCTGCGTTTCAATAAACACGGTTTACGATTTTGTTCACCACGTTCACCATATTAGAATCGTGGAGGAGGTTTTTTTTTTTTACCGGTTGTTCTTGGATTTAATTATGCCACGAACGTTCTTCTGTTGCTGCATTTAAGAGGCAGTAAACGTTAAGTATTTTTACGAATCGGGAAAAATATTGTGGAAATATCGTTTCGTTCATTTTCGTCCATTCGATTGAAAAATTGGAATGAATCGTAATCAAGAAGTGATTTGGGATACGTACTCTTTTTAATAATATTTATAGAGAATCGAAGAAATCTTTGAATCAATTATCAAATCATTACTCTTCTTAATTTCAATTCTTAAAAATTTTAAACTATCTAAATCGACTTCTGAATTCTCCATTCCTATTTTCAATAAAAATTTAAAAAGTATTCACTACTCTTGCAATTCAACAACTCGACACTACAAATTGAAACAAAACAAGTAATTTAATTCCAAAAGTTACTAACCTTGCAAAAACCTTATATTTAGAGATAATAAAACGATGCACCCCCTTAGATAGATCCCCTCAATATCAATCCCAATAACAAATAAGCGAGAGCTGCGAATCTCTACGCTCCATAATCCGCAAATAAAACGCGTGGAATATCGAGGAGAATTATTGATGGCCGCCGAGTGGCGGCGCGATAATCGTGCATAATGGCGCCGATGAAAATTTTCCTCTCGGTTGCCAATGGGGCAACCTTTTTTTTCCACGATGACTTTCCATCGTGGCACGCGAATATCGAAAGAGGGCCCCCTTCCCCCCTTCCCCCCCCCCTACCTGGCTCTCGTGCGCTCGCGTCTGACCCAGATTTTTCTTTTTGCCGGCCGGCTAGATTGCCGATAATGATTAAATCGCCGCGCTAGTTTCGCGGAACGGTCAGCGGCCACGCTGAGAGACAGCAAGCCCCTATCCTTTGCAACCGGGTCTCTCCTCTACACACGCGTGGCTTAACGATTGTTACACACGGACGTGCGGAAACCTGTGTGGAAACGGTTACGTGCGCACGATCTTGGCTGCACTGGTGTGCGCTGGTACACTGCCGGCCAAAAGTTTTTAGTAGCGTATTCGAATTGGAACGAGGATGAGAAATGGCGTGTCTCGATTTTGCGAAACGGATTTTTGCAGTTTGTTGGGATGGGAGATTATTAACAAATATCGAAGCAAAGTATTTCGAGTATGTGTAGACTCAATTTTTCCTTCTTATTAAATATGTGATTTTTAACTTTGATAAAATTAGTATCTTTAACAACCTTCAACTTCCTATTGCTACGATATTTAAAATTATACATTATTTCATTATACATATGAAGAAACTATGATCTCTGTGAAACGCATAACCTATAACTTCCATCTTCTCGATCGAAAAATCGTTAAGAAACCGTTGAGAAGGTTGAAAATTGCAAAAATATCGCGGAATAACGCAACAACGAGAGAAAAATTTACCCATTCAACTTATCCCTTAACTTTTGAACGGGAGTGTATGCGTAATGGAAGCCGGCGTGCACGAGTCGAAAGATCACGCAGCCCTCGTAATCCGCGCGCGTTGACGATCGTATCTCGATCGCGTACACGGAAGAAAGGATTTATCCACGAAATAAGGATTCGGCCGTTAATGGATCGCGTCATATATCGGCTTATGCGCTATTGATCGATGTACGCGATTCATCCGCGTGTATCACGTTTTGTATTAGCCGGGCGAGAGTTGTAAAACTTGGCGGCTATTTTTCTTTTTTTCTTTTTCACGTTGTATTTCCTATTTGATTCAGATGCGAGATAACATTAGAAATTCAAATCTGATGCTCGGCTCGGTATTCGAGCGTTACGTGTACTTGACTCGGCCGAGGGAAGAAATTACATTTAAACGAATCGCTTTTTAGATTGCGCTTTTTAAATTGACTTGTATATAGGGTGGCTGGAAGAAACCTGGATTTATAAGCTTGTTTTATTTTCGTGGAGAGAATAATACGAGGATATATTTTTGCATCGATTAAATTTTGAAATTATAGCGTGATGAGCTTATCGTCTTACTTATTCGCTAATCCCTAATAATTTCGAAGAGAAAGGAATAACAAACGCTTCTTCTTCGCGACACTTTTTCCCTCTGCAACACCAATATTATTTATTATACGCGAATCAAAATTTATCACGATTGATGTATTCGTGGATGACAATGGACACGCGATTAATCATGGATTAACTACCATGTACGAAATACGAGGAGGAGGTTTTATGAAATCGGTGTTTTTTAACGATATTGCCGATCACGGTGCTCGTTCCCGTTCGAGATTTCTCAATTCGCTCGGCACGCGAAATTTCTCAGCCGACACGAATTTATCTCCTCGTGCTTCCAGCCCATTTATATCCGTCGTGCCTCGTG